GGAGGGACCCCGCGGAGCGGGACCTGCCCCCGCCGCGCCGGGAGCCTCCAGGACGGGACCCACCCGCGGGCACCGGGACCCCGGTGGCACCGGGACCCCCCAGGATGGAACCCCTCTCCTGGGCACCAGGACCCCAGGGGTCACTGGGACCCCCCAGGATGGGATCCCCTCCCGGGCACCGGGACCCCTGGGGTCACCGGGAGACTCCAGGATGGGCCCCCCTCCTGGGCACCAGGATCCCCAGCATCACTGGGACCCCCCAGGATGGGACCCTCCTCCTGGCCACCGGGACCCAAGGGGCCACCGGGATCCCCCCAGGATGGGACCCCCTTCATGGGCACCGGGATCTCTGGTGTCACCGGGACTCCCAGGAAGAAGCTCCAGGAAAGCGGCACCCCCGGGCAAGGGGAGCCCTGTGGGAGCCCTATGGGACCGGGTGCTCTGGGCAGTGACACCCCTGTCATCTGGAGCCACCAGAGCGGGGCTGCCAGGGCCGTGGCACCCACTGGGAACTTCCTGGGAACGGCGTGGGCACCAGGAGCCCCGGAGAGGGGCCCCAAGGAGCGAGGACACTTGAGGAACCAGCCTTGAGCTGTGGCCGTGGCGGCGGCCGTGACCATGACCACGGCCACGGCGCGTTGGGTCCCCAGGCCCCACGGAGCCACCCTACGGAGCCACCCCACGTGCCGTGACCTGCCGGCTCCGCAGCGGTGGGTCCAGCCCGGAGCGGGCACTGGGGCCACCAGGCTGCCTGCAGTGACCACCCGGCCTCCACCCTGGGCACTGGCACCTCTGCTCCCCTAGACTGGGCGCCGCCGGGAGCCCGCGCACCCCGTCCCCGTCCCCGTCCCCACGCGGCTCCCGGGGGCAGCACGTGGCGCCTGTCGGGGCGTCCGGCCGGCCCGGCCGGCGCAGGAAGCGGCTCCGGAGCCGGCGGCTCCGGCTGCGTCACAGGGAAGTGAGGCTCCGTCTGGAGGGGAAGAGCAGCGCGGGGGCCCCCGGAGCACGGACACGGCCGGGACGCGGGCACGGGCGGCCGGACAGCAGGGCCCTGTCCTGCCCCCCGCCACGGCGCCCGGTCCCCAAGCGTCCCCAGGGCGGGGGGGTCTCCACGCGCTCCGTGTCCCGGCTGCGGCCTCCTGATGCCAGGGAGCTCCGAGGACCCCGGGCACGGAGCCAGGGGACACCGGGGACACGGAGAAGGGCAGAGCCTGGAGCATCCCGGAGCTGCCGCGCCGCAGGGCTGGGCCAGGCTGCAGCGGGGACACGGCAGGGACGCGCTGGGGACGGCGGGGACACGGCGGGGACGCAGTGGGGACAGTGGGACACGGCAGGGACGCACCGGGGACAGCTGCAGGGACGCTTGGCGTGCGCCAGTGAAGCGGCATGGGGACAGCGGGGACACACGGGGGACACGGCGGGGATGCAGCGGGGACACACGGGGGGACACACGGGGGACACAGCGGGGATGCAGCGGGGACAGCGGGGACAGCGGGGACACACAGCGGGGATGAAGCGGGGACAGTGGGGACACACGGGGGGCACGGCGGGGATGCAGCGGGGACACACGGGGGGACACGCGGGACACCGGGGGACACGGGGGGACACGGGGGACACAGGGGGACACACGGGGGGACACGGGGACACACGGGGGACGCGGGGACACACGGGGGACACGGGGACACACGGGGGACACACGGGTGACACGGGG